CATACTACTGATTTACTGATAGTCTCGTAACTCTACTCCAATACGAAACTAAGAAATTACTCACTCGGGCCTATTCACAATAAGTGAAACGATGCGAGATGTGTCTTTCAAAGCTGGTTATATACCTTTCTCAATTCACACTTGTGTGTGCAATTGTTGGTTCTTAATTCCCTTTAAGTGTCCTTGCTTGATTCAGCTTCATCCACATGAAATAGGAGTTCTTCTTTCTTCTCATGCCGTCCTCTTAGACCAGCCTACGGAGGGATATCTTCAAAGGTTGGCTGTATTTGGTGAAGATGACTGAGCAGATTGTTCATTCCACTTTCAGCTCAGTCTCGCTTCATTCGCTGCGAGAAGGTCCACTTGGCCTTTGGTTGCCTGAACCCCTGAGCCGTTGAAGTTTTGATTGGGTTGACCAAGTGACCGGGAAATGTGCCTAAACCACGTCCATTCATACCAGATTCTCCACCCTTGCAGGAGGGTGTACCTGTACCGAGGGATGGTGCACCCAAATCGATGTTCACGCGGGCATTCTTAACTCATCCCCATGGCAACCTGGTCTCTCATGTCAATAGGACTGGGCAAAAGATCCCTTTATCAAATTGGGCCTAACAAAGCCACGATTGGTACGGCCTAGACGTGTGTAGACTGGACGACATCCGGAGACAGGACATAAATACACATTTTTTACTGCGGAAACACGACTTGGCACACATTGGCCCTGTAAAATTGGATCCAATTGAAGTTCTCAGTTGCTTAGTTACTCAATTGTGTTGGCCTGTAGGCATGCCTACCGCCTGTCAGGGACTCGTTTCCGGTGCTTGTTTGGCCTGTCTGGGGTCTGAGGCAGAAGCGGTCGCGTGTGACTTCGGCGTCCCCGTTACCGGTTCCCTGGGGCCGTGGACACACCCAGTCGGTGGGACAACGCTGATTTTGTCTCGGTCGCAGCCCAATTTTTTGCTGGTACCAGAAACTATGCTCTGCAAAGATGGCCTGGTCCTCATCCGAGGCACCAGTGGCCTCCTCTCGTGCACATTTTTGAGTTGTCTTGTTGTCTCGGCCACCGTCCGACCTGGCAAACTGAGGATCTTTTCCAGACATGACCAATTATTCCTGTCAAATCGGAATACGTCGCGATGTCGTCGAATTTCCCGCTAAATTTCGCACAATAAACCTGTCTGGGGTGTTGAAGACGATGTACGGAATATGTTTCTCATCCCAACTTGACTCGACTGCAGTCTCGACACCTTCGAGGGTATTTCAACACGCCCAAAGGGACACGAAATCATGTCGTGTGCTGTACAACCACCAGGGCAGAGTGACTTTCTGGACGTCTCAAAAATTGCATTTTTCTACTGGGCTCTTCACTGAACCAAGCATTTCTTTGCCATTATAATAGACTACACTACTTATATTTAGTGTGAGTAGACTTTTAAATTATCCCAAATTCTCTAACAGGAATTTAGTTACACACAAGTTTTTAGTTAAGATTTACTGATCATTTCGAAATATGTCCATAACGAATGCTGCCCAAGGGCTGGGAAATTATTTATTTTGTCCTTCTGAACAAACTCGCATGAATGGCTATAATTCCACTTATTCATTGTCTTGAGATGTAGGAGTTGATACAGGGCAACCTGAAGCGAAGTGAGCTTTTTCAGTTCCGGCGAGCCGGCATGGGATGATACTTGTAAATTGTGAAAAAAATACCCATTTTTCCATACAAGACTGGCTATGCCGGTAATATTTTTTCGGTTATCCGAATATTTATTCATTTACTTTGGCATTCTCCCACTCTTCATGGACAAAAATGCTGTACTATTTCCATCCCATGCCTAGAATCACTTTACATATTTTCTGCAGGAAATTTCGCTTCACACTCTCTGTATGCTAACTGTGGGAATCCAATAAAGGAGTTTTGTTTAACTTACAAGCCGGACATGTGTTGATTTATCAGTGTCTTGACTATGCTGTATTAGTAATTCTTGCATGGCGTTCTCTGTTTCCGTGAATGGTTTCAGTCAAGCCTCTTTACGGATTAGGAACCAGCATATTCCATTCGTTTGCTGATAAACAACGCCGCATGCAGGCTTCCAGCTTTTGATTGTTCCCCTCTTTGAGGAACCGAACTCAGAACTACACGGGATTCTCCTGGTTATAGAGCTTGATACCAAACTTTACTTCTATTCAATGACGAGGTGAACGTGAAGCCATTTCCGGAAAAATTTTGGGATTTAGACGACTCGATCTGGTGTCCTGTAGCGATCACATGTTCAGCCTCTTCTTATTTCCCAATCCATAAACCTTTGCTGGTGGTTGTGTGTTCTGATGGCCTCTTCTGTATGTGTCGACAAGTCTCCCCCACATCGACACTGCCGCATGAACACAAAACCTTATGACAACCTGATCTGCAGAGGGCTTCGGGCGATTCTCTTAAAGAAGACAAAATCGAGGAAAGCATTTTGGTTTTTTTATGCATTGTCTTGACGCTCCATTTTCTCAATAATT